TGTCCCCTCCCCTCCCCAGCTCTAAGGACCAAGCCTTGGGGCTCCCGTAACGTCCTGTCCGGGGCTGGGTGGGGGACCCCAGATCTGGGGACTCTGGGGCTGGGCCAGACCACTGAGTCCCCTGGGCTGGAGGGGCTGGTTCCCTGGGTGCCCTGCTCCCCATGAGGGGCCGGGACTGGCTCTGAGCTCCAGTTCGCCCTGTGGCACCAGGACGATGGTAAGGGCGGCCACCTGAGCGCTGGGTGGGCACAGGGTCTTCCGTCATCGAGGCTTGGATCCCTTCCCTCTGCAGGGCCGGGGCTGTTGCTGGCGTCCCTCTGTCCTTCCAGGGAAATTCCAGCCGTGACGTGGGCCTTGCAAACAGACTTTGGAGCCAGACAGCTTTGGTCAGGATCCCTGATCCGTCTCTACTCTCTGCGGGACCCTGGGCAGAGGCACCTCTTGGGCCTCAGTTTCTCCATGTGCAAATGGATGCGCCTCCCCTGTGGGGCTGCGGGGCCCATGGTTTGGCTCCTGGTGACGGTTCCTGGCTGTGGTTGGGGGAGAGGGGACTTTGCCACCACCGGCTGCTCTCAGCGAGTCATTCGACTCGAACCCGTGAGCAGGGGAGATGGTGGTAGACAACCAGGTACACTGAGGCCTCGCTTGTAGGACCCCGTGTTCCAGCTGGGAGGCTTTGCCAAAAGGTCTCATTTCATCCTCACAAGAACCTGGGGTTGGAGATGTAAACAGTATTAGCCTCTTACCGAGGCGGGCTCTCTGGCCCAGAGAGGTTGTCAGACTCACTCAAGGTTGCACAGCACGCAAAAGGCCCAGCACAGTCAGGAGGGGCGTCTGCCGAGGCCCTGGCCCAGGCTTGGGCCCAGAGGCTGGAGCCCAGAGGAAGCCGTTTCCCGCACCAGCTCTTCCTACAAGCCCAGAACCCCCTCCCCCGTGCACCACCCCGGGATCCACCGTGGTTTCTCTGGCCTCTGGGGCTCCGTCCAGAGGGACCGGGCCCCTGCGAGGGAGCTGCTTGTCATTCCTCCCCAGCCCCTGGAGGAGCTGCGGCCAGCAGGGCCGGCCCGGCCCTTTGTTGACGCTGACAGGACGGTGCAGCAACCTCACACTTGAGCTGCCAACTCGCCGCGGTCACTCAATCCATCACCGAGGGCGGGGGCTCCGGGCCTGCCGCTCGCCTGCCGTGTTGTTCTAGTCCGCCTGGAGCTGTGAGATAAACGGGGCATGAACTGGGCCCCTGGCAGGGGGTCAGCCCCTTCTGCCCTCATTAAAGTGCCAATCAAGAAGAGGAATGGAGACGAGCAGAGCGAGCTCAGACTCCCAGCCACCACGGGGACGGGATCCAGACTTCTCCCTCCACCCAAGAGCGCCTGGCGAGCTCCACCCCAGGCCAGAGCGCCTGGTTGCCACAGTGCCCTTGGTTTCCCTACAGCGGGAGAGGCTGGGGTGGGGGCTGGGAATCCAGGCAGCAAAGGCCACTCGCATGGGCTGGCGTGAGTTGCTGTTCAGTTACCTGCTGCCATGTAACAAATCACCCCAAAATGTCGTGGCTTAAAACAACAACCAGTTTATTAGCTCTTGCATCTGAGCGTTGACTGGCTCAGCTACGTGCCTCTTCAGCTCTGTGTGACGTCGGCCAGGGTTCCGCTAGGCCACAGAGTTCCCAGATGGCTCAGGCACGTGCCCAATACCCTTGTGGGGAAGGCTGGCCTCACCTGCCGTGCCCCTGGCTCACACAGGAGGCAAGAGTGGAAGCAACGAAGCTATTTAGGGGGCGACTGCAAACAGCCAGGAGAGCCTGGCCAGAGTGGCTCCGTTGGTTGAGTGTTGCCCTGTGCACCGAAAGGTTGCAGGTTCGATTCCCCATCGGGGCACATACCTGCATTGTGGGTTCAATCCCTGGTCAGGGTGCACACAGAAGGCAACTGATTGATGTTTCTCTCTCTCTCTCTCTCTCTCTCTCTCTCACATCAATGCTTCCCTCTCTCTTTCTTCCTCTCTCTAAGCATGTCCTTGGGCAAGGATGAAAAAACAATTACTAAAAAATCCAGGAGAGAGATGATGGTGAGTAGATTTCTAAGATTTTATGGTGGATGGGCTGTGGAGTTTGAGTAAAGAGAAGTTTCAAGGGTGACTGCACAATTGTCAGCCTGAAGAACTGGAAGATGGGAGTTATTTAGTAAGATGGGTAAGAGCAAGGGGGAGTCAGGCTTGTGACGGGAAAAGGTCATGAGTCCTGTTCTAGACAAGCTGCTAAGCTTGGGTGCTTCTTAGACTTCCAAGCGGAGATGTTGAAAAGGACGTTGGAGCGCCAAGCCTGGGTTTCAGGGCACAGATCCCGGCTGCAGATAGAAGCCTGAGAATGGTGACTATGTCCGAGTTATCTGAAGCCTTGGGGCTCCAGGAGATAACCAAGGAGAGTGTGGCTGGAGAAAGGAAAAGATCTGATAGTGAGTCCTGACATTTTCCAGTATTCGGAGGCCGAGAGGGGGAGGGAGAACTGACAACGGAGACTAAAGAGGGAGCTGTCGGTGCATCGGGAAGAAAACCAAGAAGCGATGGTTTCCTCGAAGCCGAGTGGGAGGAAATGTGTTTCAGGAAGAAGAGCGTGATCAACAATGGAGAAGGCGGCTCACTGTTCAGGTTAGACTAGGCCTTATCATGAAGACTAGAGTCACCAGGGCAGAGGTCATTGCTGAACTCGAGCAGAAAGAAGGGTCTGAGGATAGAAGCTTCGTTGGAAAGGGCTCAGAGGGGGGGGGGAAAGGAGACATTTCTGGTTCTACTCAAGGCAGAGTAGCTGGTATTCGACCAATCTGCCTGTCATACATAAAACTGGACAAAATACATGAAACAGCCAGTATCGTTGAACCACAGGTAACGCAAGGCTATATGGTCCTTGAGAGAAGGGAGGCCCAAAGGCTGAGCTACATAAAACTGGACAAAATACATGAAACAGCCAGTATCATTGAACCACAGGGAACGCAAGGCTATATGGTCCTTGAGAGAAGGGCCATATGGTCCTTGAGAGAAGGGAGGCACATTCAGCTTGACTTCCCGCCAAGGGCCCCAGAGAAAATGGTTCCAAGCAGAGAGCTGCAGTCGCACTTGGTGGAGAAAAGGAAGTTCAGGGTCTAGGACTGCGAAGACAGCTAGGGATTGTGGGCAGATCACCGAAGAAGAGGGGTTTGTCTCCGTCTTCTAAAACAACACGAAAGATGCAAAGGTTTTTACAAAGTCATCAGTTCACAGACAAGGAAATGGCTCTTAAACAACATTTCTCATAAGAGAGAGAAGTATGCATGAAAACTGCACTCAGAGACTCATTGCCCCCAAGTTGGCAAACATCTGAAAATGTGCCAACACGCAGTATTGGTGAGGGTGTGGGGAAATGCATTCTCACAGACAGCTAGGGATTGTGGGCAGATCACCGAAGAAGAGGGGTTTGTCTCCGTCTTCTAAAACAACACGAAAGATGCAAAGGTTTTTACAAAGTCATCGGTTCACAGACAAGGAAATGGCTCTTAAACAACATTTCTCATAAGAGAGAGAAGTATGCATGAAAACTGCACTCAGAGACTCATTTCCCCCAAGTTGGCAAACATCTGAAAATGTGCCGACACGCAGTATTGGTGAGGGTGTGGGGAAATGCACTCTCGTTCATTTCAACACATAAATTCTTTTATTTATTTTTTTATTTTCTCTCAGCTCATAAATTGATACGAACTCTATAGGAGTAATTTGGCAATATTTATGAAAATTACAAATCTGCAAAGAATCCAGAAATGCCTCTTCTAAGAATTTAACTTAGACATCAAACAATCTGGTCTGTACAAGGCGATTCTTGTTGGGAATAGCAAGGAGACTGGAAACAAGCTAAGTGACCGTCTGTAGGGGATTGCTTACATAAATTACCGTACATCTGTACAATGGAAATCGTGCTATTGTCCAAGAAAACTAGAAAGCTCTTTATGTGCTGGCATGGAATGGTCTCCAAAACATACTATTAAGGTGGGGGGGGGAAACGCAAGGAATAGTATGCTAAAACTTTGTAAAAAAATATTAAAATTCAGAGGGAGGAAAGCATATAGATATACAGGGTGGGGCACAAGTAGGCTTGCAGTGGCGAGTACACGAAACACAGAGTTTATTCTTGTACTGTTATTTATTATTTTTGTATTATTTTCCATGCGAACGACTGTAGACCTACTTTTGTCCCACCCTGTATGTATATATCATCTCTATCTTATATCTCTATCTAGTCTGTGTGTGCCTGTGTGTGTGTGTGTGTATGTGTATCTCCCTGGAAAAATACACAGGAAACCAGGAAACGGGATACTGGTTGATAGGAGTGGGAGGGAAGAAAAGATAACGTAACCATCAATAAAAACAAACACAGGAGGCAACACTGAGCAACACAATGCAGTCCATTCCACTTCCTGTTCCCTTTCTGAAGGCTGCGTTTGATCTTCTATATAGATATGCTCCAGGCGTCCCATCAGGAAAACCTGAAGAACATTTAAGCCCCGACAACTTGACCATAAACTAGGCCAGTGACGGCGAACCTTTTGAGCTCGGCGTGTCAGCGTTTTGAAAAACCCTAACTTAACTCTGGTGCCGTGTCACATATAGAAATTTTTTGATCTTTGCAACCATCATAAAACAAAGATTTATATTTTTGATATTTATTTTATATATTTAAATGCCATTTAACAAAGAAAAATCAACCAAAAAAATGAGTTCACGTGTCACCTCTGACACGCGTGTCATAGGTTCGCCATCACTGACTAGGCTGTAAGTCGACAAGAGGTGAGTTGTAGATAAGTCACAGGTCACATTTGCTAAGTGCTTGCTCTGTGCTTGGGATGACAAAGCCACACTCCACCACTAGTAGAGGTCGTGTACCACCAATGAGCCACCGTTCTTGTTTTCCATCTGCTGACATGTTTTCAATACTATGAATTATGCCACTAATATTCACAGATATTCTCTTCAGAGAGTGTGTGAGGGCCCTCTTGGTGCAATAACTAGATTAACAGGACAAAGCCAAGGGCCAAAATGTGAGCTGTGAGATGGTGACATGCCTCCTTCCCCCAGTACCTGTGCTTTTGTGAACATAATTGGCGTCACCTTCTGAAATAAATTGCCTGGAGTTTGTTAGCACTGACTCCTGTGCTGGGCCTGGACTGTGGGTCAGGCCTGGCCACTGAGGCCCTGGGTTGGTTGGCTCTTCCCCGACTATGTCCCATGCGGGGTGGCCACGTGCACATCTCCTGCCTGTGCCTTTAAACACCCCGGGCACCGGGCCAGGGGCCGTAGTTTTGTTTGCAGAGTTGCCCAATCTGATCCTGGCGTTTGGCAAACAAAGCTCGACTCCCAGAGCCCAAACAAGGAGAAGCAGATGACCCTCTCACCTTTCCTGACCCCCAGGGAACTCCAGGGGATCCAAGGAGCACGGGGATGCTCTCCACTGTCATAGCCAAGAAGACTTGACCAGCGGCCCGAAGGCCGCCCGGGAGCCCTGGGAGGGGAAAAGGCAGCCCAGCCCACACCGGGCACCGGCTGTAAGAACGGTCACTCCGACAGCCTGGGCCTTGCCTTCTTCCTGCGGAGTCTCGCTTCCCTCCTGGACGGTTCCTCACCCTCCTCTCAGCAGATGGTGCTCCCACAGAACTCCCAAACGAAACAGGTCTGTGACCCCAAAACCGGTAAGAACCTGCCCTCCACCCACCGAGAAACTCCCCAAGTGCCAAGGCCTAACTCAGAGGCTGAGTCCTCCTGGTGGCCTATGGCCATGGCTGAGGATGGGGGGGGAGGCGGGGGGGCTGGGGGAGGAGCCTTCCCACGCGGCTCTGCCCATAAACAGGTTCTCCCCATCAGGCCCGGGCCCAGACACATGCCCAGGCACTTCTCTTGCGTCTCTGCGTCCCAGCCAACAGAGGGTTGTCCTTCTGTCCCTTCCCTCCCGTCCAGTGTGGCGGCCGCCGGCTCCGCCTGTGAATGTGCCTCGTCTGAACTGACCTGCTCAGTCATGGAAAACACACCAGATTGGGCAAAGGTGGCTCAAAATAAGAACGCAGAGTTTCTGACTCATCATTTTTACATCGAGGGCACACGACGTGGTCCTATTTGGGCCCCGTTGAGTTAAATGTATGAAGAGAATTAATTTCCCGTTTCTTTTTCCTTCCTGTCAGATGTGACTCATGAGCTTTTAATGACATGGGTGGCTTGTGTTGTATTTCTACAGGACAGCGCTGGTTGACTTGGCGACACTAAGAGCTACGTGTCTCAGAACCCCTTCCTGGCGGTTCCAAGGCAGAGCTGCCAAAAGGGAAGGGGCATGAGGTTTGGGGGCAAAGGTGAGCCCAGTCGCTCTGCCTTGAAGGTCATGGCGAGAGGCAGACATAGACGGGCCGGTCAGTTCCAGTTTTCCCTTGCTCCTGCCCCGCAGCCAGCCTATTGCAGATGGCGGCCTCACTGACCAACACTGACCACTGCGCACCCCCCTGCCCCGTTCCCCCAGAGCCTTCGCTGCAAACTCACACAGGGCAGCCACACAGATGCCCACCCTGGTCCCCTCCTCAGTCTTATTCATCCATCCACAGGAAGCGATCAGTGACCTTGGTATGACCTTCTAATGCCCTTCAGGCCTCACCTCCCAGCTCCTCCCATTACTGCAGACAGTCTGACTCCTGTAACTCAAACTCGGTTCCCTGGTGGCCCTCCTGTTCCTGCCTTTTGATCCAGCCCCAACCTGCCGAGGCACTTCGTCCAGCTTTATTGGGAATAAAAAGCAAAACTGAGAACATTGAACAAGATACTGGTTAATGTGTCAGATACAACCGGCCACCTCGGAGGCAAGAGGCCCGCTCCGTGCTGTCAGGCCTGCGGCCCAGGCCTCCAGGCTCTCATCGCACCCACCCTGATCTGCTCTCTTTCCTCCACCGTCCCCTTTCCACCCACCCGTTGCGTCTTTCCTGCCCAACTCCCTGCTGTTTACAAACACCTAAAAGGCAAAAACAACACCCTCCTCACTCTTTCTCTGCTACCATCAAATTGGGAAGAGATTTCCACATTCACTTCTTCACCTTTGGGTTCTATTTCTCCCAGCACCGCCGGGGAGAAGGTCGCCGCGGCCCAGTTTCCAAGTCTGAAGATCTCAGTCTCGCTCAACCTGACCTCGGAGTGGAGCTGACACCACTGCCCGGCCTCGCCCTCCTCAGCCCTTTCGCCATTCTCCCCTCCTGACCCCCTCCCTCCCAGCTTCTCCTCTCCCAAGCCTCTGTCCGCTCTCCCAGGATCCTCCCTGAGCCCACACCCCCTCTCTACACCCTCTTCGAGCACCGTGACAGACTCCTTATTGAAACGTTCATCTTCAAGGGGCTGGCTCCCAAATCTCTCTCTTTCTAACCCTGCTAACGGGAGGTTGCAAAGGGCCCACGTTCAACGTGTCCAAAATAAAACTCAACTTCCCACCCTCTCCTGCTTCTCCATCTTTTTTTTTTTTAATTCCAAAACATTTAATTTAGAAGTCCGGCATTTCAATAATTACCCATCTTGATTGACAGGGGCTGACGCATGTGGCGCTGTCAGGATAAACAAGGACAATAGCCAAAGGGTTGCAAAAAATCAATCCATGATTCTTAAACAATCGCAACCAAAAAAAAGTAACAGGTATCAAAACTTGAGGTGCCCTGCATTTAAAAGAAGGTTTGTGCACATCGTAATTTAAAGAGACCAAACAAGGTGCTACTGAAACCTCACGTTAACAGTTTATGTAAAGCTGACGGAAGGAGCAAGTGTTCTCTTTATACCAGCTTTCCTTAACAGTTTCCCATCAGCTGAAGGAAGAGGAGGTGGGAGGGATGAATTCTTTTTAAAAAAAATATATTTTTATTGATTTCAGAGAGGAAGGAGGTGGAAGAGAGAGATAGACACATCCATGATGAGAGAGAATCATTGATCGGCTGCCTCCTGCACGCCCCCCACTGGGGATCAAGTCCGCAACCCCGGGCATGTGCCCTTGACCCGAATAGAACCTGAGACCCTTCAGTCCACAGGCCAATGCTCTATCCACCGAGCCAAACCGACTAGGGCAGGGATGAATTCTTTTTTGCATGCACACGATGTATTGCTTACTAACAAAACACTATCTGCTCATTTTAAATGGGTCATTTAAATATCACTGTAGCCTGTTTTGGCCGATTCTCCTTTCTCAACTTCCCCATGGCTTCCACCTGGCTTTCACAACGACCAACAGGCATAGTAAAATGCCTCATTCAGAACACACCTGTCTGCACGATTCAAGAGAAAGCTCCCGCGGGCTCAAAGCGGCCATGAGCCCAGCAATGCCCGTGAAGATGGATCTGAAACTGCTTCCCGGGGGGCCAGTGCAGACAGGTTTAGCGCCAGATCGTTAGTGACTGTGGCAAGGAAGAACCAGTGGTGGTGGGGGCGGTGGGTGAAGGAAGGGCGGGGAACCTAACCTGCAGGCTCTTCGGTTGCCTTCTCCTGCTTCTTCATCCTGCTGGTCGCTCGTCCAGAGGGTGAGCTTGTCTCGCAGCAACTGCACGATGAGCTGTGGAGTCCTTATAGGAGTCCTCGGTGAGTGTGTCCCGCTCAGGGCGCCATCGAAGGCTCGTTAGGCTAAGAGGCAGGCCTGCCGGGCGCACGCTGGATTTCATGTTAGAACTCGGCAAAGTTGAGGGCCGGGCCCAGCTGTCCGAGGTGCGTGGGCCGCATGTGCTCTGTGCTGATTTCAAAGGCTTCCGTGTAGGCCGCCAGGGAAGCTTCGGCCACACTGTGTTTCTCCTCCCCGGAAGCCACTCTGCCAGGTAACGTAATAACCGCCTTTCATTTGCAGGTAAAACACCTTGCTCTCCACCTGGAAGTCACTGCCGTTCTCGATGAGGAGCTTGCCCAGCAGGGCCAGGACCTCGTCGCACACGGTTTCCAGCTCCTTCTCGATCTCCCACGGTAAGCTTTAACTTTCTCCAGCTTCTTCTCTTCCCATCGGCATGGCTTTCGCTCAGTGCTGCTGCTGGCCCTCCAGGAGCATCGCCTGGCACCAACCACATCCTGGGAGGCCACAGAGGGGGACTTCCACCTTCACTGGAGAGAGGTTCATTGAGCTCTGTCCCTGCCTTCATGGCAGAGGCCATGTCGCGCTCCGCCTGCTGGGCCAGCTGTGCCCGCTGCAGCAGCTGCTCCCGGTCCCCCATGTCGCTGTGGCTCGGCCTCGCCTGTGCCCCGCACCCTGCATCGCTCGATAACTCCCTTGCCCACTTGCTCCCCAGTCGGAGGCCGCTGAGGGAGGAGAGGCTGCTCGATGCAGGCCCTTCTCACCCACCGCTTCCCCTCCCTCCAGAGCCAGTTCCAGCGCTGCTTCTCCATCTTTAAAGCAGGGAGGTGGGCCCTCCCTGTTGCAAGCGACCTGCGTGAGTAAATGGAACTTGGGACCAGCTGACGCCTAGCCCAGGGCCTCAGGTGCCGTCCTCAGGACGTGGCCTCCCTGCACCTGGCAGGTGGCCTCTCTCCGCTTTGCTTCACTCTGGGGCGGGCCCTCCCTGGCTCCCTGGTCCCGGCAGCTGCAGGCTCCTACCTTCCAGCCCCAGTGGAAAGACAGAATCTCTTCCTGGGAACTTCTGCCCAAGTGCCTGGGTGCCATCCACTCTCATGGACCAAAGGTCCATTCCAGAAGCAACCCTGTATCCCGGGACAGGCTCTCATGGGTTGGCTATGGGAAAATGAGGACTGATAGGCTGGACAGGAAGCAGTGGCTCCCACCCACCGCTCCAACCGCAGAAGCACCTGCCCGTTCCCCTCCCTGTCACACCCGCCAATCAACGCACTGGGCGGACCCTTCTCTTCTCTTGGCCGGACCATTTCAGTAGTCCTCTAAGGAGAACTCCTCCCCTTAGTCATCCCCATTCAGCCTCCTCCACACCCAACACCGCTATCTCTTTAAGGCTCACATCGGATAGCACCCTTCTTTTGCTCAGCACCATGTCAGGACTCATCCACGCGGTTTTGTGTGTAGGTAGTTCGTTCATGTCCCTTGCTGAGTGGTATTCCATCCTTACGTGACACTCCAATTTGTTTATCCATCCAGCTGTTGATGGGCATTGGAGTTTAATCCAGTTTTTGGCTATTGTTTGTGTACAAGTCTTTGTGTGGACATGGTTTCATTTCTCTCTCTCTTTTTTAAAACATATTTTTTATTGATTTCAGAGAGGAAGGGAGAGGAAGAGAGAGAGCATCATTGATCGGCTGCCTCCTGCACGCTCCACACTGGGGATCGAACCCACAACCCGGGCATGTATGTGCCCTTGGGACCTTTCAGTCTGCAGAATCTAGCCACTGAGCCAAACTGCCTAGGGCCGGTTTCATTTCTCTTGATAGCTTCGAGTAGAACTGATGGGTCACATGGTGGGACACGTTAACTCTTTGAGAAACTGCCAAGCTGTTCTCCAAACCAGCACTGGGCGAGAATTCCATATGCTCCGCAGCCTTGCCAATACTTGGCTTGTCAGACATTTTAGCTTAATTATTCTACAGGTGCACAGTGATATTTCATTTAATTATTCTACAGGTGCAGAGTGATATTTCATTTTGGTTTTAATTTGCATTTCCCCGAGCGTGATAGTGCACAGTTTTTCATGTGCTTCTTGGCCCTTGGTATGCTTCTTTTATGAAGTGTGAGTTGAAATGTTCGCTTCTTTTCGATCGGTTTCCATAACTCACCCTCCTTTAGCATCTGCTCCCACAGTGCCAACAGGGCTCTGCTTACCGGCCATGTCCTCAGATTGCTGAATCCAATCCGACCGACACACCTCGCCTGACTTTTCAGCGCCCCTCGAGCCCGCTGACCACCCACGCCTCCCGTGCGCTTCCTCAGTCTCTCCTGGCTCTCGCTCCTACACCCACCCAGGCAGTGCTGAGCGCCCGCGCTGCGCCCAGGCCTCTCATGGGCTCACATTGGACTCTCACTATAATCAAATCGGGTCCCTGATGAGCCCTGCTCCCAGGCAAGCCGCTCCCTCGGAAGTTCACTGCCCACCTACCACCCTGCTTAATAGTAATAGGTCGCTGACATTTCAAATCCCCAATGCCGTAATCTCAGGCATTCATCCATTCATTTAACATCAACACGTATTCAACAGTCAGTGAATGGACCCGTCCACAAACAGCCCGCTCTTCCCGCCACGCCCCCATCACGGCAGTCACACCACGGCTCCTGGTTACTTAAGCTGGAACTACCCTTCACGCCTCTCCCCTGAATCCTCTACATTAAACCAATTCCTCTGTCTCATTTCTTTGAAAAAAACATATCCCAAGTCCTCTCCACTGCCCTCTCCTAGACCTTGCCCATCATGTCTTACCTGGAGCATGGCACAGCCTTCCCCTTTTTGTGTTTGTTAATCCTCACCTGGGGATATTTTTTTTTCCATTTTTTTTTTTTTTTTTTTTTGAGAGAGAGAGAGTGGAAGGGAGGAGGAGAGACAGAGAGAGAGGAACATTGATGTGAGACACATCAATTGGTTGCCTCCTGCACGTGCCCTGATTAGGGCCGGGGACTGAGCCTGCAACCGAGGTATGTGCCCTTGATTAGAATCGAACCCAGGGCCCTTCAGTCCCAGGGCCGACACTCTATCCACTGAGCCAAACCGGTCGGGGCACAGCCTTCCTCTCTTGACTCATTCTACCCATTTCCCATGTTTATGTCAATTTTACAGTGAAATCCCCTGCTTAACACCTTTCCTATACGACTTACAAAGCCCAACATGACCTGGTCCCTGGCCACCTCTCTCCAGCCTCGTCTCGTTCACACTCAGCCTCATCTTGTTCACACTGACCACCTGGACTTTGTGTGTGCACCGCCCTTTCCTCTTAGCCTCACTAGCTCTTCTCAGACCTTCTGGACTCAGCCTCCCTGCCTCCTCCCCCATGAAGTCTTCCCTGCCCACCCTGATGCCCACTATCCTGAGGGCAGCGAGAGTGCAACCCTGTTTATTGCACAGCCCTGGCCCCCAGCACCGCCCTGGTACCCAGGCAGATGCCTGGCAAGGGCTGGCAGAGGCTCAGTGACTGCAGTCAGCCTCCTGTGCTGTCCGGGAGCCTCTAGGGATGGGTGGCCTCTGCGGACAAACCACGACACAGCATGGAGCTGCCTTTCCGCAGGCTTGGCCGGGCTTTCCAGGAGCCTCGTACCCCTGAGGTGAAGTATCTTAGGAAAACAGGCCCGGAAGGCAGCACTCCGCCCCTAAGTGGCGCTGGGGGTTTCAGAATCTCCCGCTGCCCCTCCCCACACACCACCTCCCTCGGGGCCTCACCTGCCCAGATTCCAAGGGTCAGGTCAGCCCAGACCCACACGTTCCTCCAAGGGAACGGGCAACCATGACTTTTTGATGCCTTTAAAAAAAATAATATATATATATATTAATTGACTACAGAGAGGGAGAGGGAGAGAAACATCAATGATGAGAGAGAACCATTGATCGGCTGCCTCCTGCACGTCCCCTATTGGGGATGGAGCCCACAATCCAGGCATGTGCCCTGACTGGGAATCGAACCCTGAGCTCCTGGTTCATAGGTCGACGCTCAACCACTGGGCTTTTTG